AAGTAGAGTAGATCTGTACATTAAACCCCTCAAACAGATAACCTCTCGTATAGTTATTAGAGAATATACTGAATATTGCCATTTCCAAAGGGCCTGTAATATGGTTTTTTTAATAAAGAAAACAGATTGGCTGTTCTCTGTTTAAGCTTGATGCTCTATGTGCCGAGTAACAGAATTAACCCAAACAAACATCTGAAGAGTTTCTTTGCACTCTGTAAAAGAGCCAGTGAGGCGACAGACGAGTAATTCAAAGAAAAAGAAAGCTACTTATTTAAGTTGAAACTAGTTGAAAGCGGATAAAGCAATTCAATAAAAGACATGATTACCCTCTGCATCCTAAACTAAATTACATATTCAATATTGGACCTCATCAATACACTTCAACTGTTCTTTCATCCTGTTGTCCGGAATGATTTAGTGTTTTACAGAGTTTATTATTCACAAACCTTGTATTTATTTTTGGTGGGATCTAATGTTGAAAAGAAAGCAAACTAATAATTTAAATGAAAAAAGTAACAGTAGCAGTAACACTATTAATTATGTCATCAATGCACTTCGAAGCACTTCTTCCCAATGTGCACACACTCCAATACAAACACACACATACACACACATGCGCGCAGTCACTGACAAACAAAAAGACAAACACAGCTTCTAACTAAACCACATAACAAAACAAACACATGTATTCGTGGCAGCTAAATGGCCGCGTTTGGTCTATGGTAGAATCTTCACACAGATCACCTGTACTATACGCATTACAAGGTCCTGCTTCCACAACCGTCTGGTCCACGCTGCATCTATGTTGGATCCATTAACTACAAATGCTTGAGTCTTTTCCGCCGTAACCATCTGCAGCATTACACTGACGCTATAACGTGATGAATTCCAAAAATACAAGTGAAACACTGAATCCCATGAGCATCTCATGTGTAAAACACCAATACTGCTTGTTGGATTTCTTGTCACTGACCATAATAACATTTATTTTAACACTGAGGTCAGGCGTCTTCCAATGAGCAGCATGCAGGAGGTGCCTTGTACCTGAGGTGGGGCTTTGTACAAAAACTGAAACAAATCTTGAAAGAGAAAGTAAGCTCCAAAAGTTCTATTTTGGATTCATTTGTATTGCATCAGGGTCTAAAGAATACTATGAAAAAGGTTTTTGTCAAAATAAGTTTATACCACTCTTGTTTAAACTACATGTGTCTACAATGCAAATTAATTCACGTTTGTTTTGGTGCTATTCTTTTCGTGTGCATGCATTATAGAAATCATGTATCAACAGAATACGAAGCTCAAAAGATGGGGAGCCTTTGCATGGCTCAGTTGTGCTAGAAAATTGTGACACACGACTGGGCTATTAATATGCACCCCACCTCACAATGCAAACAACCAACGGCAAACAATAGATATTGATGAGTGGAAAGTTCAACCAAGGCAGCTGGTTTGAAGACACCGGTGGAAGTTATTTTTCATTTTTCCCCTTCATTACCTCGGTACACTGAATAAAAATATGAAGTCACTTTTAGCAAACAACACAGAATGATGTGAACTCCGGTGAAAGAGGCAGACAATCAACAACAGAATGAACAAACAGCTGCTGGCGCTGCTGAAAGCCTGAGCGGGACAGAGAGAAACAGATTATATTTGTTGTGCTGTATAATGCGAGCCTGTGCACAGTGGTGGCACAATGTCACGTCTTACTCATCCATGCAAAGTCTTACTTAACATTGAAAGCCTTATTTGAAGAAAAAAAAAATCTATTTGCAGCTTCAGGGAAAGGAATTTGCTTCAGATGCAATATTAGGACTCGAAAATGAATGAAGTGTAACAAAAGCACAAAATAAATAATTAAATAGGATTTTTAGGCAGCATATCAGTTGTTATATTTGAATGGGGGCTGTTTATCCCCCCCTGAAGGCAAGAGAATGTTCTGCATGGCTGTTGTTAAGCTAGCAAAACAACATGAATAATATGCACAAAAAAGTCCATATCTCGAAGCATGCGTTCGCTAAATTGAAACGCATTCTTCCATTAATTCACGTATTGATCGCTCGCAAAAAGGGGGAATAAATTACACTTTGAATTCCAAGGTTTTCGCTCATAATAGAGCTCATTCATCAGCTGCTAGCCCAGGGTGTTGCAGCAAACTAACAGCTCGAGTCGGCGAATTAAGGAAGGATTTGCTCCACCTTCATAGGAACAGCACTTATCAATTATCACCAGCCAATATTCCCCGCCACGATACCATGCGCTTCGTCAATACAATCACAATAGAAGATTTCCGCACACTCGGGATTGAAAAAACAAAGCATGCCGTGGAGAAAATGAAGAATGGATCATAATAATAACTATGCAATTCATAGATAGATCTGTCGTGTGGTACAATACATAAACTAAAGCAAATAAATGTCTTGTTATCTCATACACTGTCAAAGCAAGTTACTTCTCAAAATGTATTGTGAAATATTCCACTCCAATTTTCTTTGGAGGCAAAGAATACACAACCACAGCATTGAAACCGACATTGAAGATTGGTGCCTTTATTATTGTTGTCCATTGTTTTGTCAGTGGGGAAATAGGTAGACATTAGGCCACCTTATTTTTCAAAACATTTTCAAATAAGCACTTTTCACTTGTCATTGTTGTTGTATTTATTTTGATCTCCATTAGCTGGTCAAACGCAGCTATTATCCCAGGAGTCAAGCAAAAGTGCATTAAAAAACTACAATTGTGCTAAAATAAATGAAAAACATCTGCATACACCCACTCACCCTCACTTTGGACCTAATAAATTTGATTCAGAATGTGTTTCTTCTATCAATGTGGACCTTTTTGATATCTGGGAAATTGATAGTGTGTAAAATGTTGCTGCTTGTAACACTCACAACAGGGATTACTCAATGTAATAGTTCATTCCTATACAGTACTAGTTCATAAATAATAATAATAATAAGGTAATATTAAGGTTAATAAGGTCGATTAAGGGCAGGCACAATAAGCTTTGGCTTCAGCCTGTTCCTGGTCATGCACAGACTAACTTATGTTATCGTGTTTGTTTTAAACTGAATTTAAACTGGATTTAAACTGGAATGACTGAATGACCAAACAACATTAAATGAGAAATGAGATAAATGTCTCTGATGTTTACTATTTGCATTAATAATGTTTCTTGGAAGATGATCCTATAGGCAAACTTTACTGCCCATAAGACCACTTCCTCACAGCGTTTCCTAAAAAAATCTAATCAACTTAACGGCTCAAAGTTTTGCCAAGGTAAAACACCCATGGACCCTTTAACCAAATAAAGGCACAAACAAACAAGATCAGTGAGGAGCCTAACGGAGCTGAGATGTTCATTAAGGCCTCGACTGGAGTAATGGGAGCAGCATGACACCGAGCACCGGGGCAAAAAGACAGATGATCCAAGTAAGGGCACGAGAACACCGACTGTACATGGCCGTGCCCCCTTATGTACGAGCAGGTCAGAACATGGCGCCTGTGTGAAAGAATGGAGATGCTGTATATAGTGATTTTTTGTTTGTTTTATTTTTGAATCTCTCTCCTCAGAGCATTTTGATTTCCCCTCTGGGAAGAACAAAGTAATTGAATTAATCATTGACCATTTAAATCTAAAGGCTTTCATCTGTTGAGTGGATAATGGTCCTCTCGACATGAGTGGGTAGCATTTATTCCTCACAAGTAAGTCGTTGGTTCAATTCCTGTGTCTTTCTATCTCCCTGTGTCCCTGTGGTTACGCCCAGTTTCCGCCACCACCAAATTTAAGCACCATGAAATAGCAAAATTGGACCAGACCATTAACTTTTGAGAAATGTATAAATATTTAAAGTTTCATTAACATATTACCTTATGGACAAACTTAACTGTCACTAAGCGAACTTCAGCTCTATCATAGCTCATTTTAAAGCCCAGAGAAGTCCTGTCAAACAGTTTTTCAATTCATGATGTTGGACCCTGGTGAACTAAAGTGGCCCTTTCACAAAAATGTTAGGACACCCCTGCTATGGACCAATGACTCCTGTTTTGTTGAATTCGCTATCTGTTCTAAATGTTTGATGTTTTAATCCACTGTTCGATATCAATATCACGGTGATGCCCTTCGAAACAACTGCTGTCGTGATTTTGGGCTACATGGAAATAAATTGATTTGATTTGATTACTATTGGTAAAAATGTTTGTCGCACACAGTCACAAGATTAACTTAGAATGCGTTTCTTCAATCAATGTGAATAGTTTTAATATCTGGGAAATTGACAGTGTGCATAATAATGTTATTGCATGGTATTTGTAACACTCTGAGTCCAAGCCTCTCCAGCTCGCACATTTATTCATTTCGAACTTGGTGGAGGTAAATTACTTCAGAAGCTGCAGTAGCCCCGGGGTAGACTGTCGGAAGAGAGGCTGCACGACTGATCATTCACACGCCAGATTCAATGTAGACAATGTGGGTTAAGTGTCTAGCCTAAGGAAAGAACTCGATCTGAGTGGAAAATGAACCCCCGACCATTGGGTTGGTGACCCAGTGCCCTGACCATTAATCCAGACCACATTTCACTTTGTGGATCGGGATCTCAACATTAAAAAAAGATTAAGGCCGTCCGGACTGAGACGAAACGGCATATAGTCATTGAAACCAAATTACGTAAAGACAGAACCTACTCTATCATATATCCATCCACACACAGCTGAAGACAAATAAAACATTTCTCTAAGAGTATTGTTTTATGTATTTCTAAAGCCTAAGGGGGCTCTCAGAGTCTGACAGAAAGCACCGAATCAGACAAATCCCCCCAATAAAACTATCGCCACTCTGGGGTCTGATTACAAAATCTGTCGGATTCTCTCGGATTCAGTGTGCGGATCCACCAGTTCCCTGAGGATGATGGCTGAATTAGACAAAGCACTTTTGCTGCTATGGCTGAGTTAGTCTCCGTCTGGACAGAGCCTAAGATTAAAGACTTTTTCAGAAGACTTACCCTGAGTGTGCGTGGCAGTGTAACAGGATGTCCACTGATGTCCACTTGAGCTGTGTCGTCTGCATGTGCACTCACTCCGTGGACGAACATCACAGGACCAGTGTGCAAAACATCTGTAACGGGGAGAACGTTCAGATCCTCATCCACCGTGAAACTGGGGTCTGATACTCTGAATGTCACATCCTCGTTCCCCTCGCAGTCGTCAAACTCCACTGAAATCAGAGAAAGCAGATAATGATTGGGGTGAAAAGGATGAAATCTTATTTCACTTTAATATAGTAATAATTGTTACCAATTAATTGGATTAAAAAAACCTAAAGAAAATGCATTTCAAATCAGGAGATGTTTCCTTATCAATCGCCTCCTGCTGCCAAACTGGGCGTCAAAATAGCCGGTACTTCTAGTGTTAAGGGCTTTTTCAACATGTGTCTATACAAACCACAGTCCAAATATTGTATCAGAGGTTCTTTATTTGCCCCTATGATCAGAAATCCACATAAATATAATACAATTCACTGTAATTGACGCAATAAGAATAATTCAATCAGAGTATTATTAGAACTGTATATTGGTTGGAAAGTAATCTGACACTACATAAATTACATATAACTCTGAAGACATTTTTAAGATTACATTTATTGTTGCTGTACATAAACGTGATTAAGATTTGGTGTTTAGACCCCGACAGAGCACTGAACAATTGCAGAAGGGGAAATAGAAGGATGAAAGAGCTGGCCTGGAACGAGGTGGAGATGGGGAGGAGGAGGGTTGCAGCGTGAATGAAGCTGCTGCATAGATGGAAGTTCCACACGATATAAAGCTTGATGCAAAGCAGCGCCTGAACGTTTGCCAGCTGAGTTGTTGTACTATAGCTTAGTTCTTTCTGTCTTCTAGTCTGAGATTCCACTTGAGCTTCATGTTTACCTCCAATTTCCTCATATCTCCTGTTTCAGAAAATGTTTTTTTTTCCTAGTCTGAGCATTCAGTGAACTATTTGCCTAGTCTTCACCTCTGCTTTACTGTACATCGTCCCTTTGCTGTCCTATAGGAAGTGTGCTGCTACTTTCTTGTGCTCATGTTATAAAACAATACTGGGACAGTGCTGCAACATTATGCAGTTGTATAAGGTTAGATCTTGTCTTTAAATTATTCATGTTAAATCATCCCCATCGTTATAAGCATGCATTAAGTTCCATATGGCCTTAATTATTAATCCAAGTTTGTCGACTTGCTTGTTAGTTATAAAGACTGCCAGATTGTTTCTTGAGGGGAAATTGTTGCAAGCTAGTGTCTCTTCATATGAGACTTCCTGAAAGTACTTAGATAGATAATGCAGAAGCACCTTCCAATAGAATCAAGCAATTGTATTTCTTAAATTGCTCCCTGAGAGACATTTTTTGGACTCAAAGTGGACAATTTTTTTCGAAAGATACAATCAAGGTTTAAAGTGCTATTGTTTGAGTCATACAATGTGTTTCATTTGTTAGTTTTATATCCTGCTCCAGTGGGTGTGCTTGTGTGCGTGTGCGCTTGTGTGCGTGTGTGCGTGTGCGTGTGTGCGTGTGTGTGTGTGTGCTGATAATAAAAAAAATATAATGCAAATATGAATAATTTGTGAAAGCATGCAAAAACAAATAAATGCATAACGTTGCTTGAGGTGTATACTTTTCTCATAAGCATTAACAAAATGTACTCAATCATTGTGCACCAGTCTACTCAAGAAATAATCTGGAGGGTGATGTCATAATGCTTTGAAAAATATGTTTCCAAATTGCATGAGACATTTCAATATGGCCTTCCATCCTGGCAGTTTTAACTCTATAACTCTGCTGGTGCAATACAAATACAGTATTTCTTCTGTTGGCCTCCAGTTGAGTATATTTTCTCCAAGAGCAAGTTTTCCTACCTCAGGGGGAATAGCAGTAGCCATGGTGTCACTAATGGGGTTTCAGATAAATAAAACATAAACAAGTTCCTTGTATTCCCATAATCGCTGAATAATTGAAAAAGCAGTGTTGAAAATAAACAGCAAATAATATGTCATAGTATATTGTATGAAATGTATACTCTGCATAAAGTAGACTCAATGATCTTTCTTTCTTTTTTTAAGTAGCATTAAAGTCACATTCACCTTGTAAAAATGGCATTATAGTGTGCAAACCATAAAAGAGCTCGCTGAGGACTCTTAACCTTTGAGCCTCTGCATCAGCACCCATTTCAATTGTAATGTCGTGGTAGGTGGTGATGATTCTTGTGTTGCAACTGTTTCATTTTCTGATCCGTGCGGGCAAATCAACATTTATTTTTTTAAAGTCCTTGGAGATGACTGCCATTGTGATTCAGGCAGTACAGAAATAAAATAAATTGACCTCAATTGAAGTTAATCTGATTTTATTATTAACATGTATTTTTTTAATAGCAACAAGTCCTTTGTGTTTTCTCCTTGCCTTCACCTGTTCATCTCATCCCACCACTTTTTGGAACACTGCTTCTTGTCTCTGTTTTTGGTATAAGATAAGATAAGATAAGAATTCCTTTATTCGTCCCACAGTGGGGAAATTTCGATGTTGCATCGCACATATAGGGCAGTAGTAAGAGCACACAGGGATCACACACAATATATACACTATATACAAATAAGTAGTAGCTATGTTTCTTAACTAACATAACTAGCTGTAGATGCTGAAAATGCTTCAATACCAGTCAAAAAAAAAATATATGTAGTAGTGCAGGGTTATATACTGTACAGTTAAATAGTGCAGGATAAAAAGTATATACAAGTAAAGTGACATGAAGTAAAGTGACATTGTTCTGTGACATCCTGAAGTTGCAGTATTGCACATTGCACATGATTTAAGAATTTACTTAATTACAGATTTATGAAATTTATGAAATTTACAGGCTCAGCAGTTCTTATTGTACTGTCTGACAGCAGCAGGAAGGAAAGACCTACGGAACCTCTCCTTCACACAGCGAGGGTGAATTAGTCTGTCACTGAAGCTGCTCTCCAGAGCAGACAGAGTGTCCTGCAGGGGGTGACAGTCATGGTCCAGCATAGATGTTAGTTTGTCCAGGACCCTCCTGTCCCCCACCTGCTGCACTGTGTCCAGGGAACAGCCCAGGACTGAGCCGTCGTCACAGACACCGCAAACGCCTGTCGCTCAGTTTTTCAATCAAAGTGAGGAGGAAAGATAAAAGCTTGTTTCCCAAAAGTTTCCCATAATTAAAATATGGACAAATTATAGTTTGAGAATACCACTTTAACATTCTACAACATGTATGGACATTTTTCAACTTGTGTTTTATATTCTTTATGTGTTTTAACTCCTGATTTTAACTGTTGATTCTCTGATCTGTGTTGGTGATTTCAATGGTTTTGTTAAGTCCTCTGAGATGACTTCTGTTGTGATTTAGGGCTATACAAGAATACATTATATTGTCTTGTATTGAGAGTATTCATGCATAGATACATTGAGGCTTATCTAAGGTTAGTGGGGACTTTGAAAGTCCAAATGGTGACATGTAGTGCATAAAATAATCCAATAATCTAAAAAAATATATGATAATCCAAATGTGAAGACAATCCTGAGGAAGTGTATCATATTGCAATACAATGGTAAAGAACGAATGTATAAAAGCCCCGCTGCAAGCATGGAATCAGTTGTATTCTGTATTCAACTCCCGAGTCCCATTGAGCATGAAAGATGTGCTCACTCCGTCCCCATTACAAGCCTCAGATTTTGTCATCATAGGCACACTCTCGAAGCTCACAAACTGCAGCACCAAACAGTGTCAGTGGCATTTCAAAGAGATTCCTAATGTTTGATGGTAATCTAACGTGGTCCGCTTTGTGAAGGGCTGTTTAGACCAGGCACTGGGGAGAATGCAGCTTTGAAGTTGGACAGAAATGACAGAACCTCCCTCACCAGTGTCATTTGCACACTCTTACTTCCAGTCGTGGTTGATTGAACAGGCAACATAGAATAGAGTAGCAGTAATACCAAATTATGGTTTAAGCATGGATATAGGATATGGGTTACACTCTTTTTCAAAGGCTCATAAATCATAACATGAACACATTCTTCAGTATACCATTTGCAATAAAAGTTACAGGAGCTTTATTGTGAACATGTGATTCTCCACCTCTGATTTATGCGTTGTATCTAATAATCCCTATGTCTCACACCGTGCACCACATTTCGTCACAGTGACAGCCACATATATTACATACAATAAAAAAACAAATGAAACACATATGCACCCCCACATAGCTGGAGAAAGGCATCAGGAGTCCAGCTCTGTCCTCGGCCATCCCCTGGACACAGTGCAGCAGCGTCCTGGACAAGCTAACATCTAAATTGGATCATGACTGTCACCCCTGCAGGACACTTCGTCAGCTATGGAAAGCAGCTTCAGTGACAAACCGATTCACCCTTGCTCTATGAAGGACATGTTCTGCAGGAATTTTCTCCCTGCAATTAATAGTGTATGTACAATATATGAAGATATCCATATATGAATATATGAAGACATCCTTAATATTGATATTGAATTAAGGATCTCTTCATCTTAACCCCGTAACACCCTTGCAAATGTAAAATATAAAGTTCAAAGGTTATAGCAAATAAGTATGACCTTTTTTTTAAAACATCAATGTATGTACACAAGAACCAAAGAAGCAAATATATATCATATTTTTTTTTATTGAATGCTGCTTCCAAAAATGTTAATATTTTTATGCCTGGGCTTTAAAGGGTTAATCCTACTAGACATACACATACCCGTACGCTCACACCCACTCACGCACACGCTAACTTTGTGGAAAGTCTAAAGATTCATGGTACATTATATACAAGCCAACACTTAATAAATGAACAAAAGCATTAACTCCATGCACATTCCAAACAGATTAAAATAGCAATAGTGTCAACGTGAAATGTTAAAAGTTTCCATTCAACCTTCTTGGGTTCTAACGTTTTCCTTTCAGCTGCTTTCAAAACTGTTTTCTGTCTTGTAACTAAATGTCAAGTCTGTAGAGAGAGAAAGATGGGAATCAGAGTGCTAATCTCAAAGGTGGCAGTGGTGGTGTGTGGAAGCCGATAGCTGTGGTATCGCACATGGAGGTGAGCACCATCTTTACACATGTATAAAAAGACACTCTGAAGACAACATGCTGTTCATCACCTGCCCTTATAGAGACACGCTTTCCGCA